CACCCAATCACCAGTATATGAAATCCCATTATTATCATTTGTTTTGTTAGAGTCAAGGATCCACAAGTGGAGAGACATTATCAATCTAATATTACTGTATAAATAGCAAGTACTTAAAACAGTGCCTGACACACAGCAGGTGCTCAACAACAGTTGGTTGAATGAATGAAACACTTTTAAGTTTCTTATCATAATTTGATAATGTAGATACCTTCCATAGTAATATTGTCTGCATATCTATCACCAGAACCTTAATTGGCTCAAAGAACTTAAATGTCCATTATGTGCTACACCCATGCTAGTTCCCCTCTGCTCCGGGCACATAACAGCTACGATAAAAAATCATTTTTCTGATGTTTTTCTGAGAGCAGTTTTTATTTGGGGGGAGGGAAAGGATGTGTCTGGGGAGAGTGGGAATCTCAGGAGAGAAAATCATGTTTCTTTTGTAAATAAACCAATAACAAAACAACTTTTAAAAACACTAATAATAATGGCTTTTATTTATTGAGTCCTCACTAAGGGGCAGATGTTTTCTCATTTAATAGTCACATCATCACAATGAGGTTATTTTCATTTCACAGATAAAGAAACTGAGGCTTAGAGACATTAAGGAACTTCCCCAAGGTCATGTGGCTAATATGTGGCAAAGCTAAGCTTGGAAACAGTTTTCTGACCCTAAAGCCTTGTCTCTGATCACACTGTATCTGGCCTTTATTTCTCCAAAGGGCAGAGGGTTCTTGGGACAGGATGAGGTTGGGGTGGAAGCAGAGAAAAGTGTGAGCTGGTGGTACCACCAGACCACCCTCATCTCATCATAAAGCTGTTTAGGGTAGATTCTGTTCAGGTGTAAAGGTAATTAATACTCATAGAGTTTAATCATCCAACCTTACTCTCTCTAACTGAAAGTCACTTCAGTGACTTAGGTGCCTAAGAGGATGTTAGACAACATATTCAGCCTTGGAGGCTCATAACTAAACCTAGGAATTTGTGCAGGAAATGCCACAGGTCCTGAGATGGAGAAATATTTTAGCAAATACATATTAGCTGTAATGTGAGAATCTACTCCCTATCTCTGAGGTTAACTCAGCTGCTTCCCAGTCTTCTGAGAAAACAATGGCAAGGACTAGAAAGCTACAGGTATGTGGAACAGCGTGTACAGGTGTCCCATGCTGTCTACACAGACTCTGAGGTTTCAGACCAAGCCAACTAATGCTTGCATGGGGAAAGTGGACCCCAGAAGCAGGGAGGTCTGACTTTTCACACAGTGGATATAAGCATTCCAGTCATGTCTAATGAACCTGTGGAACTGGTCCCAAGAGTTGGTTGGCATGAAAGTTTATGTCTGAAGAACCAGAGGAGGGAGTAGGCTTTTAGAGTGAGGGCAAAGAGAATAATGTGGTGTGTGTCATGGTACCACATACAGCCCCTGGGGGCTCATATCTGAGCAGAAACTGAAGGAAGAGTTTTCCTGTAAGGCAGGAGATATGAGCCACACTGCTTGGGGCCAGGAGACTGAGTCGGACAGTCAGGTAGGAAGAATTACTCTCCTCCTGGTGGGGTTGGACAGAGCAGCATACTCACCTCAGGGCCCTGGGGGACTTTGCCCTGCCTCGGCGTGTCAAGGACTAGCAGCTTAGAGGGCGTCAAGGGACCTCTATCCCAGGCAATGGCATCAGAGCTGTGGGGTGGTGATGCCGTTCACGGTCCTCAAAGGTCGCTGAAACAAAAAGAGAGGCTGCAGTGGTTATGAATTCCCTTCAGATACTTCTAAGCCTTTGTGAATACAGAGCTGAGACTCCAAAATTGCTATAGACCCTGCATTTGAACGGAGCTGAAACAGAGCTAGATGCTTTGAATGATTACTTAAAATGTAATCCACAAGGGCTTGTATTGTCCAGAAAATGGAATTTTATGCTACTAAAAATGAGTGTGGAGAATCCCAGACCCACACATGGGAAAATGGTCTGGACCCTCTCACTTCCTCCTCATCTTCCTTATCAGCACCCGTCCCCTTCTGTCATCCCGGCCTTGCATCTTATTCTGACCTATCCACACCTACTTCTCACTGATGATGGATGCACTGGGCTTCTCCTGATTCTGTCTTTCTCTTCCTTGAACACTGTTCACTATGGATTACCCTGCCACTCCGTCATGCAGACCCCTCTCAGGAGGAGCCCCATTACTCTGCCAGCTCTGCTCTGCCTCTCACAAGCAAAATCAAATATATCAAGAAAAACTCTTTGCACACTACAGTTTAGTGAAAACAGACAGTAAGTAATAGAGACCCTCCACATAAATGCAAAAAAGTAGACATCTGTAGTATACATGATACATGCTTCTAGGTTAAAGGATAGTATATTACAAACATAAATGACACTTTCAGAGAAGCATATTGTATATATTATAATTCCTAACATTGTAAAACAAGAATGTTAGAAGTCCCCTAAAGAGAAAAGAGACCATCTGTGGGTTTATGACATGAAGCAGATGGAACAACATCTGAGAAGTACTTAAAAATTTCTCTTCCTGATATTGTCATCAATTCAATCATCACTTTTATAGTCTAAGAAGAGAAGGGTGTCTTCAAATCCTGAGGTAACACAATATTTAGGAGACACTATCAAAATGCTGGGGTGCATCAGAATCCACACCAACGACAGACTATCAACCATGTCCCTGGCACATACATCATCTTGTGTGTTGTCAAATGTAATCCTGCATCCTACCCAGGGCAAAGCTGCTGTGAGAACCAAAAATTTTCTCCTTGATGTCACTATCCCTATTATTGTCTGGTGCAAAATTGTTTTAAACTTTCACATAGCATTCCAAGGTCTTCAAATGAAAAGAATCAAATAAAGGAAGCAAATAACCTCACTCTCTTATCAAGAGACTTTGGCTCTATAAGACAAACTGCTGCAGCGACCAGCTGTACCAGGGGCCTCTGAACAATAACCCTGAGCAGGCCTGAAATCTGCATGTAATATACTCCACAGGTATTTCTTTGCACACTTAAATTTGAGAACAGCTTCCCAGAATATTCTAGTTTGCTATTTTACAAAATGAGAAAATGTTCCACAAACACTGTATTATTCTATTTCTCATGTAATCTTGGAGGTTGAAATTAGTAGAATTGGGGTATTTGTTGTTTTGTTTGTGAAGTTTTGTTTTCTTTAAAAAAGAGTTCAATATGCATATATTTCAAGAGAAAAACATGCATGATAAGAATCGAGGAAATGAGTTATGCATGTCCTCCAAAGGGGGATTAATATGGTAGAACTACACATTTTTTACAACCTGGATTAAGCCTGTTCTATGGCATCATACAATCAGAATTTGTGAGAGAAGGATTACTTTGCTGGGATATCAAAGCAAAACAACTTCCAAAATATCATATGTCTTTTCCCATAGACATAATGCACAAAAAACTATTTAGGCAAATTCACCCAATGGATACTGTTTATTACAGCATACTTTCAGCAAAGCCTCTTTGGACTAGATCAGCTCATAGCAGCTTGAAATGGAATGCCCAAACATTAGAACAGCTGCTCTACAAGTAAAATATCTTGTTACATTTTCATTAACCAACCAGCTATTCAGAATGTCTTGTCAGTGTGTCCTGTAAACATATAAACTCATGTAAAACTATTCAAACTCTACTAAAATCCAATGAACAGGAATGGATACTTCTCCAAAGATAGTTCATAACTGTCACAAGCCCTTCCCAACAACCTTTGCTCAGGCTTGCAGAGTGAATCCACTCATTATTTATTTGTTTTATTTATATGCCTTGGGCTACAGCTAGCATCAGTCGCCTCTAGAATCTCCCTGTGATGGTCTGTCCTGTCCCCGGGTCCTGAAGGCCTACCATCCCTCCGAATGGCATTTGATTTCTCTTGCACCAACTGGTCTCAGCAATCAACTCCAAGTCCAAAAGATTTAGACTGCTCTCCTAGAAAGATGTATGATTCCCAGGTAACCCAATCTAGGCCTGAGCTTCCCTGAGAAAAAAACTGAATGCACAGACCATTAGCCAAGCCAGACCTACGCCCTTCTTTTCTGCCTTTTGGAGTAATTGTAACCTAATGCAGAAATCCTTAACAAGGGCTCTGGGAACAGGCTTCACAGATTCCATAAAATGCTTGAGATTGTGTGTGAAGATTTTTTTATGTAAATATGTATACACATTTCCCTAAGGAGATTGTTAACAGCCTCTCAAACGGTTCTGTGACATTTAGGTTATGATATTCACATCTACAGCCTGAATGTTATAGATTGGAGTTTCAATCTACCCCCTTGTGTTTATTGACTTAGTTTGTATTGGAGCCTTCACTTCTTTGTGTCATGTGTACTACCCAAGTACTGAGAAAAAAATAAGGAGCTTGCCTTCTGTATCTGCTAGGAATTGGCTTTGCCTGCTGGTAACACAGACTCTGCTACAATGGATTAAACAAATTAGGGATTTATTCTTTCTTGTAAAAGAAATCTGGGAAAGGAAATCCAGTTTTTATGCAGCCAACAGGACACCATTAGAAACACAGGCTACTTCTGTCTTTCTGCTCTGACATCCTCGGCACTTAGTTTTCTTTGCACTGTACAAGAGAACTGTCATCAGTCTGCTTTTCTTTTAAGGAACTTCCCAAAATCTTCCAACGAACAAATTTACTTTACATCCTACTGGCCATAAAAGCTTTAGATGGGCAACTTACCTCCAGTCCCCCCCACACCAAAATTAGGTTTTCGTTACTAAGAAGAGGGAAACTTATTTGGTAGGCAACTAGCATTCTCTTTCTATGAAAACAGATGTTAATGAAGTTATTTTCTGCTTAGGGTTCCTTGGGGAGAAGGTCTTTGTTAACATATATTCATTCGAGAATCAGAAGCATGTCTATGACATGCACTGTTCTCTGTGTTTGCCAGTGTCTGTCTCTCAGTCTCGCTCACGCATGCCCAGGTGCACGCGCACGCTCAGCACTGTCAAGGCACTTGAGGCTGTTGGAAGAACTGCCCGCAGACCTCGGCACCGCGTACACATTCAGGTCCGCAGCACACCTCCCTTCGCACGACATCTTACCCACTGCCTCACGCTGTAGAGTGAAGAAGGGAGACTCCCCTCCTGCCGCTGCCGTTTCCTTCAGCCTCTGAGGAAAACGAGCACAGGACGTGTCTCTGCCGCAGAGAATCCCTGTGCTCTTCTCCCCATGCCACGGCTGCCCTCAGCCCTCGGGTGGGTCTGCCCGAGCCTGCCAGGTGAGTCGAATTCACTTTACTCGAGCCCACTTCAGCCTGTTTGTAGGATGAGGTTGGAATCCCCAACTCTGGATCTCTTTCCAAATTCTGTCTCACTTATTATGATTTACATGGTGAACCAGATGGGCTGCTTTCCTGTCTTTTGTGAGAAAACACCCAGAACCCCATTTGTCTTTCTTCCCCTTGAAGGATTTGATTTATTACCCAGAATAGGTTCTCAAGATGACATCAGCCAGTCCACGGGAGCGAGGTGCCTATGTCCTTCAGTGGTCAGACGGGATAGGAGCATTCTAAGGCCAAATATTTCAGTGTCCTTGAGCAAATCACTTCTGCTTACTAAGCCCCCATTTCCCCGTAAGTCAAATGGCAGTGCCGGTGTCTGCTCAGATGTGGGGAGATGAAGCCCTTTCCCCTGAAAAGGGGGCTATTCCACCAGTGGTTTCATTCTTGTAACTCCTTCAGCATGAAGAAAGCATCTGCATTTGAGTGCAGGCCCCCGCTGCTGTGCTGTTTGCACTTTGGTTTCATTTCCAGGCCCTGGAAGTAAGAGGGGCTTTGGTCCTGCTGGAGGAACTGGGGGGAGGGCCAGGCCCCAGTCCACTGTGTTTTAAAGGACAGATAGTGTTCCCACCTCTGTTGATGGCCTGTCACGTCCTCTCAGCCAAGAAGCTGATGGCTACGGCTGAGCTCTGAGCCACACAAGAGCTGCAGTTTGTGGAGGAATGGTACCCCCGGGAACTCATGTCGTCATCCTTCGGACAAGCTCGGGAGCGGCTTTTGTCCAGGCTGATCTCCCTATTTGGTTTTCTGCCTTGAGAGCTATGTGTATAAGGGTCACAAACGCTGTGTGGAAGGGGGCTCTTTAAAAACAATTAAACTGTAAGTCCCTAGATGCTGCTGGCTGAGCAATCTCTCTTCTCTGCCTGCCAGAGAATACAAGCCCTGTCTGACTTCCTGTGAAGTTAGTCAGGGCAGAACATCTTCTCTCTGGATCCTCTTCTCAGCAGCAGCCACAGCAGTAAATCTTCAGAGAGGCCTCATTAGGCAAGTTCCTTTTTGAACTCGCTCCACCCTCCAGACCTCTCGAAACCACCACCGCCATTCTAGCATGTTATTATTTTTTCCTCCTAAACTTGCATTTTCCTCAGTCCTGGCACCTAAGCCTCCCTACACTGCTCTCACTTTCTTTAATGGACTCTTCTCTAGCTGGAATCTCTCCAAAGGGTGTGTTTGTGCAATCAAAAACTTCCCTTTTTATTTTATCGCATCACTGAACATACCAGATAAGGCCCAGCTGAGGGAGGGAGGGATGAGAGGGAGGGCTCTGGGCTAGGTTGGGCTGGTGAGGGATAGGGGGGCAGGTGAAGGGGACATGGGGAGGAGGCAGAAGACATCTTCACATCAGCTCTTAGGACCATGTAGGGACAGCAAACAGACACATGGCTTTCTCCCCATAAGACCTTGGCCACTTTTCAGGAAGCCGCACACTCACATTCAAACCTGCAACAAATGGCTTTCCATAGCTCGAAAAGTACACATAGAACAAACCAAACACAAGATACACTGAGACACAGACACCAGGACATTAAACAGTTAATTTTTAGCAAAACCAAATTGCATTTCCATCATGTGCAAGCAGTCAGCTGCTATTGTAGGTCACCAAGATACAACACATTATTTCTACAGTTTGTGGAAAACATTAGGCAGCTGTAATAAAGTCAATGGTATTTCCTTCCTTACTGAAACATGACTTCAGTAAATCCCCATTTAAATTTTTTTCCTTTTCTAAACATTTCTCCCCATCTGCACGTTAAGTCAATAAAAGAAATTAAAAGTTAAAATGCCTAATGAAATTTTATCAGGCATGAAATGGCATTTAAACCAGAGTTGCCACCCGGGCTTAGACACATGAAAACTGACCCGAACTTGAGGGGTTTTTAAAAAGCAGGGGGAGGGTAACAGCAAGTTTCAGTGGCCTTTATGTATCACAGCCACTGAAAAAGAAAATCATGCCAAAGAGGCATTCCATGAAACCAAGACTCTCTGAGCAGTTAAGATTTTTACAGGAGGTACATTATTTTCTGTCAACCTCTGCATTCTTTTAGGCTGCCATTCTTCTTTATTTATTCACTTCTTTGTGCTGACATGCTTATTTTGAAATCAATCTTCATCTATGTACCTCTGTCACGATCCCAGGAAAAGTGGCAGGAAGAGAGCCTGAGAACATTTTTAAGAAGATGAAAGAGATGGGAAGGGTAGGGAACTTAATTCTCAATCTTTCTTAGAGAAGAGCATTGGGATGTGCCAGGTAGGCTCAGAAAGAGTTTAAAATAAATGGGCACAGAGAAAATAAATCATTCTTCCCTGTATAAAATTGTTTACCTTAATAATTACTTACTGCCCCATCCTTTGGTCTTAGCAGACACCTTATTTTCACAGAAGCCCAAAAAGAAAAGGGGCCATTCAAGGGGTGTGCAGATAATTCCCAGCCTTAACAATTTTAAAATATTAAACTTATGTGAAAGCAAATCGCAGAGTCCTCCCTCGTGCAGGACACCCACTGAAGCCCAGGGGACATATGTCTAAGAAGGGACAGCAGAGGCAGTCTCTCTAACTGGAGAGAATATTCGGCACTTTCCAGAAACTTTTTTTAGTTTGTAACCAGAGGGCTGTGTTTTCAAAACAGTTGTCCTTCCTAATCGCCTTGGTGAGAGGGAAGCTGTTGTCCAGCCTGCAGAGCAGAGAAAAGGACCCTGTGCTTTTCTAATGGCTATGAAAATCAGCCTGGGATGGTGGTTTTCCCACAGTGTGTTCCATGCAGCTGCGCTTGAGAAGCCAGCTGTGGGAGTGCTGCGCCCAAGCAGTGTGGAAGGGAGTCCCTGCCTTCCTCCAGAAATAGGCCATCAGGTAGGTAGGAAAGTGTGTTTGTAAGCTGCTGGCGGCATCCACGATCGTGCACATATCTTACCAGCACCCACCCAACCTGACAGTATTAAAATTCCCTTAATTCTGACAAGGTGATAACAGTTTTCAAATATTTGCATAGCTCTCAGTGTTTCCCAATTTTTAAAAAATCATCAAAGGTAACTGGGTGTGTAAGTCCGGGACAGAATCTGTTCACTTTTATTTTAAAAAAAAGAAAGAAAGAAAGAAAAAGTCCTGGCTTTTCTGTAGTAACAAAACTATTTGACCTAAATTTTTAAACTTTTGCCTTGATATTTTAACACTCACAGATCCTGTAGTATTAGAGAATCTGTGCAACTCAAACACACAAAACACTTCCAACAATGTGCTTGATAATATTTGGAGGGCCAGTTGACTGGAGAGAAACAGTTTGCAAATTCTATGCAGCAGATACACACAAGTCCAGGGATGAGAAGCACGTGAGATTTGAGGATACCCAGGAGTCTCCCAGATTTCACAGCCCATCCACCACACCCCAAGCAAGGCTAGTTATTGCCAATCTGCATCAGCCCAGATGTGTGCAAAATGTCTGAGTGGTTGTTGGCTGCTGAATGATTGGAGGAGGGATTCATGGCTTATCCTAAAAGGCAAGAGGTAGATAGACCAGCCTGACATAGGGAAGTTCAGACTTAGGGAAATGCTTTTTGAACAGATACATTATGCAGACTGTGAGGCAACCTGGTAGAGTTAGAAACAAGGCCCAAGCAGCAGAAACAAAAGGGTAATGTTTAGTTGTGTGTGGTGTGGAAAAGACTGCTGCTCGCAAATCAGCCATTTCTGTCACTTCATCCATTGCTAGAAGTCCTGTTAGTAACAGCTGGTCCTGGGAGCCGGATGCTTACATAATATTGAGGCCTTCTTTAAGAAGAATGTTTTTAAATAACAAATATAAAATTACATATGGATGTGAAGATTTATTTAGAAGGGGTCAGAGCAGGGGCCCTGTAGTTTAAGCTTTGTGAGATTTCCAATACATTCACCACTGTTAACAGTCCCTTTTCCTACAAAATGAAGGCTGCATGAAAACAATTTGAGTCCATTATGCAATGCCCAGACTAAAGAAGGGCTGTATCTCTGCAGCAAGAAGGTCTGTTATGGTTTTACAAAGATTCATGGTGTTAGCATTTACATATCATAAGGTTAACTCTTCATCGTGTTTTTCCAGCTGACAAGGTGGGCACTTTATCTTGAATTTGAGCCCCAGCAGATATCATAACCTCAGGATTATCTCAATTAGGACATGAAGATTTAAGATTTTGAGTGCTAGATCTGATCCCTTGTATGCACAAAGAGATGTGAGAGCTTTTGCACTGGAGTCTTTTATGAGATTCTATATTCTTTCATGTTCTCCCTGGCTGTAATCTTTACATCAGAAAGTACAGTATTATGATGTGTGTGTTCACTGGCTACTGATATGACTTGTCAATGGGTAAAGTAAGTCGATTCAAAATCAAAGTCAACTTCAAGCAATTTGAAGATCTAAATCAGTCATTTTAAGCATCATGATGCATTAGTATTTTTTAGAAGAGAATGTGAATGCAAAACCAGTCTAATAAGCATTAAGAAGAGAGATATTACAGATACCATTAGAAATAACTAGTCCTTCATGGATGAAGACCCCAAATGTCATTAAAAATGATTAAAAAATTAATGTAAACAGTTTTTTAAGCAAGATCCTTGTCAAACCAAAGATCTTCCTGCATGATAGAGACAGTCTAATTTTATTAGTCCTATTTTTATATCTCAGATGAAGTCTGGGATGTTAGGTCTGATATCCCTTTCTCCACTCTCAGACCAACTGTGTTTTACTGGTTGATTCCAGAAGGGAAAGCTAATAGCTTCTAAACTAAATTCCAATATAGTTTCTACTCTCAATAGCATTAGCAGTTAAAGAATATGCTTCCCTTCAATCCAATAGCAGTATGAAAATCTTGATGGTGCAATGGCCTTTGATATTAATATTCTAGATAGGATGTTATTAACTAAAAAGTGGCAAGTAGGCTATTTATTTTTTGAGGAAAACTAGACTGAAGGAG